CACCAAAGCCCTGGAAATTTTTTTAATTTGCACGAATTTTGGTATAGCGTATATATTTTCGTTCGTCCCTTATACCTTTCGATTTGCATGCATTTTGGTATAGGGTACTGAATTAAGTCTAAAATGTTGTTGCTAAGCTTCGTGAAAAGATCCATAGCTAGGCCGATTGACACAACGTTCTGATGTAATATAATTTAGTCTCTGGCAAGTTTCCCTAAAATCGGTTCAAATATAGATATATAACAAAAACGCGTCGTCTGTTCGGATACATACGTAGAATATACCCAACGTGGTGAAGGGTATCGTATAGTCGGGCCAGTCCGACTTTACTATTTTCCTTACTGGTATATATATATATATATATATATAAATGAATTGCTGTTCGTTAGTCTCGTTAAAACTCGGGAACGGCTGAACGGATTTATCTGATATTAGTCTTGCATTCGTAAATCGGAATACGCTCATCCATTCTATATATCACGCTGTGGCCACATTATCTGTCAACAATGTCTGCAACCAACGTGTATTGTTTGTTAGAAACCTTACAATGCCTTACACCAATGGGTTAATATTTCGATGATCCAATTAAGGTTTATCGCCAATATCAGAAGGTTGTAAAATGTCATTACGATCAAGAGCGTAGTATTGGCATCCATTTGTACAGAACAAATGATGCGGCTGTTCTAAAAGTCACCGCCGAACTACAAGGATTTCAAGAACTACAACGAAAACTGAGACAAACTAAAGAGAAAGAACTTGAACGCATTAGGAAATTAAAGGAATATGTTGCGTACCACGATCGACGATTGGAACAGGTACGATATATGAAACCACCAATCCACCAGGTCCATCCAAAATATCGTTATGGGGCTCGTAATAAGAGCAGTAGTAATACATCAGATGTCAGTACGTATATGTCAGTGGATTATACGCCACAACTAACACAAACGGTCCGAACTCATTATGCACCACCACGCAGCCTCACTTTAAATAACTGCAACAGTTCAGAAAGTGAGCGGTTAAGCCGAACGTCCAACAAAAAGTTACGCGTACCACCACCATTATTACCATGTTCGGCTTATAAGAATAAAACGGAATCTCCGTCAAAAGAAAACAATTTAAATTAAATTTATCCACTGTAAAAAATGTAATTTTCAAATATATTAAATTCTGAATTCGATTATTGCCTTTGTTTATAAGAAAGAAACAAAACAATCTCCGTCTAAACGTAAATATTATCCACTATGTATATATATATATATATATATATGTTGATTCTTTGTAGAAAATGTTTTATTCTTTAGAACTTTTTTCGTGTTAACCTCCTTAATGAGGATTGACATACATATATACATAGGGATTGACAATTTATATTCTCAGATTTGACAAATACAGTAAAATGTAATTGTACTATTAAATCTGAATGTACTTTGTCCTACATTCAGATGATATACATTGCGCATTAAAAACATATAGGTTTCCAACATATTTTTTACAAACTTTTTATCATCGTAATGCAAGGGTTATTCCACAATATATGCCAACATGTTCTGTTTTCAATTTCAAACATCTTTGCAATTTATTGTGTCTATTTAAATATTTTTTAAGACAGATATATCACCAAAATGTATCTCCTTTCAAACACGTTCACAAACTCGGATGGTTGAAGGTTTTCATTACTACAGGTTTATAGTTTTTACATAACATAATAATGATATAAATATAAAAATAAGTTTTACACCTTTAAAACGTACTATGCTAGTAAAATAAAACCTAAATCTGTGATTTCAGTTTAACAAATCATATCAATGAAATAATTATTCATCATCTTCGTCTTCTTCCTGTAAATGTGATAACTTTAGTTTGCCCGCAGCTCTGTCTTGTTTTGTATTCTTCGCCTTGGCTACCTTTTTCTTCGAACCACCAATAACATATTCGGGCATTACCAGCTTTGATCCCTTCAACTTTGGTGAATCTACTTCTACGTCCTGTTGTTCTTGCGATTGCAATGTCTTAATGTTACGATTTATTTTACTGGATTTTTTAAACTCAATTTTCTTTGTCAATATAGTTTCTCGGTCTTCGCTAACACCATCATCATCAGTTTCCTTGCGAGCATCAATTTCTCGTAGAAATTCAAATGCAGCCGATGTATTTGTGTGATCTGATATGTCAACATCTTCCAAAGAGTATTTCTTCCATTTGTGAGGATTTACCTGAAAATCAGAATACAACAATAACAAATATAATAGGCCACTACAAATACATATCGTTCCAATACATACCTTAAAATCTGGCAATGATCGAGGCTTTAGACATCTCGATATGGGAAGTTCTGGTTTTTTGAATATACTCTCTTTACCACGCAGATTCTTGAGGGCACGGTCGACAGAAGACACATTTTTATGTGGGCTTTTGCTGGAATTTCTGTACACCAGTTCTGTATCGCCAGACGAGCTGCGCTTCAGGGGATTTTTCATCGCATTTGTTTGATCCAAACTGGTACCCTTTAGTTCACTGCTGGCATCATCAAGACATGCAAACAGAGCATTCCGTTTTGCTTCAAAATCAAGCATATTTATTCTTTTATTTTGGCATTTATTTATTTACGCTGTGGTAGAAGACAGATAACAATGCCGTCATTTTCGAAATCGCCGGCGTTCTCTTCTAACTTCGTCGGCTTACGGAATTAGATGAAATGGGTCTCAAAACGAAACTGATAAAGCATAATCAAAATAAAAATAATCGATATAGGGATACCCAGGTCGAAATTCGGACGGAATCCACTGAATCCAAACAAAAAGCCCGATTATTGTAGGGGTAACTAGATGGATCTTGAGTCAGTTAGTAAAAGAACAATTTGGTCTATAGTGCGTTTTATTTATGTATGTGTGACACACACAATGCGTGAAGAATATCAAAATAGTTTTGATTTTGAAAATGAAACCCTTTCAATCTGGTGAATTTTATTCATTTTTGAAGTTGTCTGTTGAATTTACGACTCAAAATGTGATTTTTTTGGAAAAATGATTGGAGAGTTAACCACACACTAGTCAATCACACACATATACAAAGGGGTGGGTCCCTTTATATATTTATTGACTCTTGTTTGATTATCTACTGTAAGATATAAAACTCTAATTCTAAATTCGTCTGGAATGAAAATAACAAAGTGTTGCGTATATTTATTAAAATATTTATTTTTCCCCTATTCCCTTCATAATTTAGCTTGCAGATTTGTTCGTAATTATTTTATGTTTTTTAAACATATTGTTACGAATATAACTTTAGATTTAAGTTAATTTAGATGAATTCCGTTAATTTAAGAATTTGAATTGTAACGTAAATTTCTACTACGCAGTTTATTTGAATAACTTCACAACAACAACCACTGTATAGATTTTTCTACATCCTTCCATTTCCTCTTTCATTTTCTATTTTGTTATTGTCGTACAATTCTTGTTAAACGTCATTCCTCTTTCTTTGTTATTCCCTCGCCTGTATATGTGTTGTTGTTATTCCTCTTTCTTTGTTATTCCCTCGCCTGTATATGTGTTGTTGTTATTGTAAGTTTGTTTACTCAAGTTTGTTGTTGTTATTGTTCACTCAGTAAGTTTGTTGTTGTTATTGTTACTCAATGTGTTTGTTGCATTGGTAGATTGTTCGTGATCTAGGTGTTACCAGATCGTCTAGAAACTTCTGTAGCGACAGGCAGGGCTCATATAAATAGAGGGAATGGAAAGGCAGTGAGTCAGTTGTGAATCAGATCGCGAATTGAAACCGTCGTGTAAAGTAAAGTGCAAAGTAAAGTTGTGTGAATAAAATCATTGTAATAATCGTAATCCGAAAGAACCTGCGTTTTTATTTGGTACGAATTGTATCGGGAAATAAAACAACGTCTACACGGGATTTAGTAAAACCCAAGAACGTAACAATTGGTGTCGGAAGTGAGATTACGATAATACTACGATGAAGTTTAAGGATCTACGAGTGGAAGACTTGAAGAAGGAGCTCAATAAATTGGAATTGTCCTCTACTGGCAACAAGGCTGAGCTACAAAAACGTCTGTTGGATGAGTTCGAGCGCCGTGGTATGAACATCGATACATATGAGTTTGACAGCAAGGATGAAGTGGATTTATCGGAAATGGGCGAATCCAACGGTGGGGAAGTCTCGTCAGTAGCTGCCAGGGTTGGCGATTTGAGAGAAATGCTGGCTAGAATGTTCGAAGAGAATGCCAGAAAGTTTGAGGAAAATTCCAGAAGAAGCGAAGAGAATTCCAGAAAGTTAGAAGAAAACACGAGACGTATGTTCGAAGAGAATTCCAGAAAGTTAGATGAACTCAAGGCAGAGAATTGTAGAATGTTTGACGAAAATTCGAGAGTAATGAACGAGAAACTCGAAAACATTACAGAAGATATTGGAAGGAGAGTGGAAACCGTGGAGATCCAAATTAAAGAGTTGGATAAGAAAGTGCAGTCGGTTGACGAGAAGATTCTGTCTGTGGATGAGAAATTTCTGGCCCACGACCACAGGTTTACGAATCTGGAGAAGAAAATGTCGGAACTGGAAATCAAAGGTGGTCCGGTGCGAGTTCCTGATAACACACTAAAAATAAAACCTCCTGTATTCGACGGCTCTACGTCATTCAATGTTTTCAAGTTACAGTTCGAGACAGTGGCTTCTAGAAATTCGTGGAACGACAGCGACAAAGCGGTTGCATTACTTCTGGCATTGAAGGGCAGTGCTGCTGATGTTATACAGAGTATTCCTGTCGCTTCTAGGAATAACTATGAAGATGTTATTGCTGCACTGGAACGTAAGTACGGTGGCGAACATAAACAAAACATCTACCTTATGGAACTAAGGGGAAAAGTACAGAGGGCAAACGAGACGCTACAAGACTTTGCAGCTGAGGTGGAACGTTTGGTGCTAATGGCGTATCCAGGAGAGAATCACCCATTGCTGGACCGTATGAAAATCGAAACCTTTGTGAATGGCATACGTGACCCTGAGATTAAATGTGCAACATATGCGTCACCAAAAGCGTCGTTTGCCGAATCTGTGTCGTTTGCCCTTGCCCAAGAGATGGCAAGAATAATTGTTAAGCCCCAGACCCACAAGATTCGCCAACTGGAGACCGAATGTTGCGAACACAAATCTCTCGTTAACTTGATCAAGGACGCCATGAGGCGGGTAATAGAAGAAACAAAGTTAGTAGGGATGACTAAGCCCAGGGTTAGATGCTACAACTGCGATAAAGCAGGTCATATTGCGCGCGAATGCAGAGCTAAGCGCAAACGATCCAGGTCATCGTCACCACCTCTAACGAAAGATGGTAGAAGAATGGCTCAACAGTCCACCAATGAGTCACCGTTAAACAGAATCGAGCACAGAGAAGGCGGAAAACACGGTAATGCTGATGCCCTGTCTCGTCGGCCATGCAAGGTAGAATACATCCACTGCTCAAAGGCTGAGCGCAAAGAGAATATCGTGGATGTCCGACGATTGCAGTTTGAGTCGGGAGAAGATTGGTCGACGGAACAACGAAGAGATCCCATTCTGGGCAAAATAATTTCGGCCATAGAAACGGGCAAGCGACCTAGTCGCAAAGAAATTACCTCCGAAAGCCCTCTTTTAAAATCCTATTGGGCCCAGTGGGACAGTCTACTTATAATGGATGGCTGCCTATATCGCAAATGGGAAAGTGAGGACCGTAAATCTCACCGGAACTTGATCGTCGTCCCAGACTCCAAAATAAGAGATGTCTTGTCGGAGTTTCACGATGGGCCAAGTGGAGGACATCTTGGCATAGCAAAGACCGCTGAAAAGGTAAAGCAGAGATTCTACTGGGTCGGCTGTCAAAAATCCATTGCCGACTGGATCGCCAATTGTGAAAGGTGCATAAAAGCTAAAGGTCCAACACGGAAGAGTCGAGGCTACATGCAGCAGTATAATTCAGGAGCCCCTTTTGAAAGAATCGCAATGGATGTAGCTGGACCGTTCCCCACAAGCGACTCTGGGAACCGGTATGTCTTAGTGGTCATGGATTACTTCAGAAAATGGCCGGAGGTTTATGCTATCCCAAATCAAGAAGCCAGGACAATTGTGGATGTGTTCAGCAAAAATTGGATTTGTCGCTATGGTGTTCCATCTGAGGTTCATTCCGATCAAGGTAGGAATTTTGAATCAGCGATCTTCAAGGAAATGTGTGACTCCTACGGAATTAGGAAAACCAGAACGACGCCCCTACATCCACAATCAGATGGCATGGTGGAAAGATTCAATCGCACCCTTGAAGAACATCTACGGAAAGTGGTGGACAGTGGCCAACGAGACTGGGATGAGCATATTCCAAAGTTTTTATTGGCTTATAGATCGGCCATTCATAATTCCACATCCCGGACCCCAGCCAAAGTTCTGTTCGGAAATGAATTAAAGCTACCTGGCGATTTGATATTCGGCGCTACCCCAAACGACGATGTGAACCAAGATGAAGACAGCCAAAACTCTTTTAGTAAAGTCCACGATGCAGTCCGACATCGAATAAAAATGGTTAGCAACCGCATGAAGGCAAGGTACGATCGAGCGGCAAATACCGATGGGTTTCAAGAAGGGCAACTGGTACTATTGTTCAACCCACAACGAAAGAAAGGACTATGCCCCAAATTGCAAACGCACTGGGAAGGACCCTACAAGATTGTCACGAAAATAAATGACGTCGTTTATCGCATCCAGAGGAGCGACAGTCCCAGGTCGAAGATGAAAGTTGTACATTTGGAGCGGCTGACCCCCTACGGAACGGGAACTGTGCCTATTCGGGACGAACAGGCTTAAGCGGGGGGCAATGTTACGAATATAACTTTAGATTTAAGTTAATTTAGATGAATTCCGTTAATTTAAGAATTTGAATTGTAACGTAAATTTCTACTACGCAGTTTATTTGAATAACTTCACAACAACAACCACTGTATAGATTTTTCTACATCCTTCCATTTCCTCTTTCATTTTCTATTTTGTTATTGTCGTACAATTCTTGTTAAACGTCATTCCTCTTTCTTTGTTATTCCCTCGCCTGTATATGTGTTGTTGTTATTCCTCTTTCTTTGTTATTCCCTCGCCTGTATATGTGTTGTTGTTATTGTAAGTTTGTTTACTCAAGTTTGTTGTTGTTATTGTTCACTCAGTAAGTTTGTTGTTGTTATTGTTACTCAATGTGTTTGTTGCATTGGTAGATTGTTCGTGATCTAGGTGTTACCAGATCGTCTAGAAACTTCTGTAGCGACAGGCAGGGCTCATATAAATAGAGGGAATGGAAAGGCAGTGAGTCAGTTGTGAATCAGATCGCGAATTGAAACCGTCGTGTAAAGTAAAGTGCAAAGTAAAGTTGTGTGAATAAAATCATTGTAATAATCGTAATCCGAAAGAACCTGCGTTTTTATTTGGTACGAATTGTATCGGGAAATAAAACAACGTCTACACGGGATTTAGTAAAACCCAAGAACGTAACAATATGTAATAAATAAATCAAATAAATCGATATGTAATAAATAAATCAAATCGATTACTCCCATGGCATAATTGCAGAAGGTAGTCTCTTTTGAGAAATTAATAATGAGAGAAATTAATAATTAATTCGGAACTCATCTATCAATTTGAAATTTTTTAAAAAATAAATTCCATAAAATTTAAGATGGACAATTATATTCATAATTGCTATGTACAGACATACTTATTTTTTAATCCGGACTTACGGTCAATAAAATTAAATGTAATAAATATCTAAATTTTTTTATCCTCTTGGTTCTTATGTTATATCTACTGATGCTACAACTTATATTTATAGATTATAGAGGCTGGGAACTTTAAAATGTTAAACATTATTGTCACTGAAAACGTGTTGTGCGTACATTTCAAAGCCCATCCTATTGCCTTATAGGAAATGCTATGGAAAGGGACTGGCGTAAGATGATTACGCCCTGTATTATATCTGCCATGAAACGAGACATGAATTTCTATAATTCGTATAACAGCGAAGTTCTTCTACATCAGTCTCATTTGCGCCCATGCTCCGACCGAAGATAAAGATGAACAGACCAAAGACATATTTTACGAGCGCCTAGAAACTGCATATGACCGTTGCCCTGACCATGACATTAAAATTCTCCTAGGAGATTTTAATGCAAAAATCGGAAGGGAAAATATATTTAGCCCCACCGTCGGAAAATTCAGCCTTCATGAAGAAACATCCGAAAACGGCATGAGGTTGATTAACTTCGCCGCAGCAAAAAACATTGTAGTTAGCAGCACCTGATTCAAGCATCTCGATATACACAAGGTCACCTGATTCTCTCCTGACCAAGGAACGAGAAATCAAATTGATCATGTTGTGATAGACGGAAGGCATTCATCCAGTATTTTAGATGTCCGATCGATCCGAGGAGCGAATATCGATTAGGACCATTACCTTGTGCAGCAAATGTGCGGTCTAACACAACACGGAAAATCGACGTCGAAAAGCAGCAATCACAACAGGTAGCCGAGGCCTACCTGTTGTGTTTGCAGCGTGAGCGTGAGCAAATCGAGATGTTCAGGAGTCAGAATGAACAGGAAATTTTACCAACAAGTAAAACACCAAACCGAAGGCTTTGGACCATACCAATGCGGCTTCAGATCTGGCAAATCCACCATTGACCAGATTTTCAATCTGCGCCATATCCTGGAAAAGACCCACGAAAAACAATTCGACACATACCACCTATTTGTCGACTATAAAGTCGCATTCGACAGCCCTATCCGTTCAGAGGTCTTTAAAGCCATGTCTACGTTCGGCATTCCTGCAAAATGAATACGGCTACGCAGGATAACTTTAATTGGCACAAGGTAAGCAGTTAAAGTAGGAAAGGACCTATCGGAGCTCTTCAATACCGAACGAGGATTCAGACAAGGTGACAGTTTGTCGTGTGATCTATTTAACATCATGCTGAAAAGGTCATACGAGACGCAAAGGTGAACAGAAATGGCACTCTGTACTCCAAGCAACTAATGTTACTCGCCTACGCCGATGCCATCGATATAATGGGTCGAACATTGCGAGCGGTAACAGCTACCTTTGAACAAATTGAAAAAGAGTGTGCCAAAGTGGTTCTGGCAATAAACGGCGAAAAGACCAAGCTGATGGTATCAACGCCCAAGACGTCCTGTAGACTCGGACCAACTGTGAAACTTGAGAACTACAGCTTCGAGGTAGTTAAAGATTTTATATTCCTTGGCCCGCTATAAATAAAACGAATGACATCAGTTTTAAAATTCGGAAAAGAATTGTGATGGCCAACAGATGCTACTATGGTCTAATGGTGTTTTTACACGATATGTATTTTACATATGTGCTGTCACTTTTTTACATATGGAAATCGAACTCGTCATGTGAAACATACGGAAATTTCAATGTGTCAAAACGATATGCAATTACATATGTATTTTTTCCTAATAGGACGCGCTCTATTATCGTATGTGAAACATTAGGAAATCAGCTGTTTGAATGAAAGACACTGTTGGAAGAAAATATTTCAATTGCAAGTCAAAGAAAAGTATGAAAAGACAACGATTACAAATTATTATTTCGTTTGTAGGTGTTTAATAAAAAAAGATGTTGATTTAAGAAAAAAATAAAAGTGTTTTTTTGTTTATAGGTTATGTCATATGTAAAATACATATGCCAATTTGAACACAAAAATAAATGTTTTGTGTACGCTGCTAATTTTGACACACATAAGGAATTACATATGGATGAAAAAGTGACAGCACATATGTAAAATACATATCGTGTAAAAACACCATAAGTACGTACGTTATGTGCATTCGTCACAAAGTGACGAGACATAGCAGTGGGAAATGTATTGTAGTTGTCTGTAAATGCCTTGTTGACCACGAAGTCAGGCGCCAACGAAACGAACTTCTCATTGGGGTCGTATCGCTGGTAACGTAAGAACTTTGAATTGTCACAAGAGACATTTGGGATTGAAAGGTTTTTTGTAAAGAAGCTATTAATAGCTTCTGGGGAGAATATCCCAACAAAAAACTAAGGGAACTGATGAGGATCAGTGGCGAGATCCGAAACTATAGTCTTCCCTGCCTTACCCCTCGGCGGACAAAGTAAAATTATGAAAAACTTGGAATTATATGCCTGCATGAGACCTTGTAATTATACCATGGGTTACTCTATTCTCTTAAGAATATACCATTTATAAAATCTGAAATATAAATGGATATATTTCAGATTTTATAAATTGTATATTTTTGCTAAATTGATTGAATTAATACATTCCAGCATGTACAGGAACAAAGCAAATATTTCGAACCATCACAAAATCGATTACTCGATGTTCTCTCATAACTACAAAGTCGATTAATCGATTGTTGAAAACTCGACTTATATATCCCTATTTACAATTGGAACAATTGGATACCATTGGTCACTTGTCAGTACGAAAGTTTATTTTGTGTTGTTCGTTTCGCCTTTTGTTTCAAAAGAAATATTATCTCCCAAAAAAAATACAATTTAAGTGTTTTAAATTTTTAATAATTTTTTGCAATTGACCGCTGGTGCTTTGCTAATTGTAAAATAGATTGAATTCAAAACCATTTTGGCGATAATTCGTAATTTGCTTTTGGAAAAATAAGGATTTCAAAAATCCTACAAAGAAGACAAAGGAAAAAAGTTGTGAAACACAAGAACGAGAATCACAAAAAAAAAAACGTCAATTCATTTTCGTGAGAGATTCCCATGCCATATACGAACGTAGGAGAATCTTAATTACTTCCTAAACATTTATTTTTCCATCACTCACTGCCAACAAAAATTTTTCATTACCACTGCAACAACAACAAAAACAAAAAACTGCATTGGTAGCAGCGGCAGCAGCCACAAACAATTCCACCACTCACACACGTACATATAGATCAGCTATACTAGATATTTCACAAGTTCGCACATTACGACGTCACCTCCATTGGACATACGTGTAAACAAACAAAACAACGACCCGCGACCCGGCACAATGGACAGCGAACACCGTAAACGCATTGAAAACAACATTGATCGCTTAATCAGTTGTACGAAATTTGATGAGTTATCACATGCCTGTTTGGCTATGGGTCTCTTGTCACCGGTAATGTTACAGATTATTAATCGTGTTCCGGAGAATCAAATGGTAATGTCGGAGGCCGAAATACAAGGGGAACGTCACAAAAGACTGTTGAAGAAGATCACAAAACGTGGTCCAGATGCATTTGCTACACTGTGTCGTATATGTTCCGATCTGCATTATGATACTGCATTGGGTATACTGGTGGATAATAATAGATATCTATCGATACACAATAATAAAATGGCGTTAGCCGGGGCAATGATCCCAAACCAAGAATACGGAAATCGTATTAACAACAATAACAACAGCAACAATCATGATGAGGACAGTAGGCGTAGCAGTATAAGTAATGCAGATGAAGGTGATGAAGACAATGGTGATGGAGCATATCAACAGGTAAATTGATTTTGATAATTTATGCATAAATATTTGCAAAAAAAAAAAAAAAAACTTTCTAATTTTTTTCTTGTTTGAGAAAATGTACGAACTCGTAAAAGTGCTATACATATTTACAGATCATTAATGTTATATTCATATATATCTATTTATATATTACAGCAGATCGTATGGGTTTAGGGACTCAGCTTGCCCCTTAACTATAGACTTGAAGATTCAGCTTTCAACATTTTTTTAACAGTGCATGAAATTCTATTTGCAGCATTTGCTTTGTTTGTCCGAATAATAATGCACATACGAAATTTGTGTAATTATATTGTGTTCCCATGAACGATATTTAGTAGGTATACGTTTGTTGGTTGTCCCAAACTATATTACACAGCACCACAATCGGGAAATTTTCTAGAATATGACTCTTGTTTTAACCACTTAACCATTTCGCTTTTTCTTCAAGTGGGAAAATACAAAAAAAAGTCATCAGTTCGACTATGACTCATCGATACATCATTTCGAATATCTTTATTTGAGAGTTTACATTTTCTTAATATTATTATCCGTTTCTGTTATTGTTATGAAGTGTTACGATATCTTCTAAAATAAGTATTGCTGAAGTTTCTGCAATACTATATTATACTATTCCACATATTATTATGCTATATTATTCCACACTTCAGTATAATGAGGATATTAGGAAGGTTTCCATAAATAATAAAGGTATTTAGAAAGAATTGTTTAATAATTCTCAACAGAACAGTTTTCCCGCCTGTCTTTACTTCGCAGCAATACAGACAGTTTGCAAAAAATATCAGTATTCCAATGGTAGAGGTCAAAAATTTCTCCAGATTAATTCGTTCATTAATTATAATCATGTTTAGAGTGCGATTCAATCATCTCAGTCCAACCAATCAATACACATGCAAATACTATGTTTCGATCTCTCAACGATCATCGTGTAAGAGAAAGAATTGCTAATATTGAAAATCAGTAGATCAATATATAATGTTATCTGTTTTTATGTTGAGGCCTGAGTCTATGGAATTTTTGCTAATATATAGTGCTACTAGACTAATATGAAGGTTTATTTTAAATGTTTTTTGTCCACATCAATATAATCCTCTACAACTTGTAGATGTTTATATTGAGTTCCACAGCTACTCCCAAGGAAGAGGAAGATTGGATTCAATGCTTTTTGATAAATAACAATCTCAAAGTTTTGGCTACAAGTTGAACTAACGTTGAAGAAGTTGGAAATTATTTATCACCAAAATACACAACAGAGCTGAGAGTGTGGATTACTCTCGCTGTTGTTTTATTAAAATACATTAGTTTATTTAGAGTACATTCCAGTGTCATCGAGAGCGTCATACAAGTTTGGTAGTGCAACTATGGCTCAGATGATCAAGTCACGCAAAATTATAGCCTTCATAATATAATTCTTAGCTATAATTAATTTATAACACGCACTTTATTGCATTTAATTTTATCGATAGTTTTGTTTAAATATAACATTTAATTTATAAATATATATTTTTTATTTATCGCAGATTGACCGCAGACGTAGCAGCACAAAACCATTTAAATCTGCCCCCATATTGGAAGAATATACTGGTGAAATACGTCCCAAACACAAGTTTAAAGTGGAAAAAGCCAAGAGGATACTCAAACATCCCAGTCTGGATACCTATCCCATGGAGAGTAAAGACAATCGTGGCGTTTTCTTTATGGTTAACATGATTAATTTTCCCTTGGAACAGGATCGCCGTGATGGCGCCGATGAAGATTCACATTCACTGCTGCATCTTTTTAAAGAAATGAATTTTAAGATATTCTCCTTTACGAATCTTTCACACAACGACTTCTTCAGATTATTGGAGGAACTTTTAAAATCACATTACACAAAAAATACAGAATGTTTTGTTATGGCCCTTATGACACATGGTAATATGGACGCCAGTGTCCAACGTATTACATTCAGTGATGGTGCTGTTGTTAAAGTCAAAGAAATCGAAGAATATTTCCATCATCATGTTTGTGAGAATTTAGTGAATAAGCCGAAAATTTTCCTATTTCCATTTTGTCGAGGCGATATGCTGGAACTTGGTGTTATTAATAAAGTACAGACTGATAGTATTACATTTAACGCTGCTCCGAAAATGAAAAATATACCCATCTTGTCGGATTTGTTGCTCTGCTATGCCACATCGGAGGGTTTCAAATCCCATCGAGATCCCGATAATGGATCGTGGTATATACAAAGTTTTGTCAAAAATATGGCCATGCATGCTCATGATACATCGTTGGAAGATATTATAAAGAAAATTCAAGCAGACACAATGCATTTACGAACACCCGATGGAAGTTTGCAGACGGCCAATTATGTAAATGTATGTTTCAATAAGGCCTTATACTTTAATCCAGGCATTTGGCTGGAATAAATTCCATCCATACAGTATTGCAATGTAGTGCTAAGGAAAAAAAATCGGAATTTTTTTTTATTCCCATAACTATAATTATTTTATATAAAAGTGCATTTGTCTTTTTTTATAAATGTAGTTTATATAATCTTTTTTTATATAATTCATATCTTTAATGTTTAATATGTAAAACATAATATCTATAAAGTGATAATCATAATATATACAAAATATTAAGAAAGTTATAAGAAATATATATTTTTTGGTATGTTATATTAAAGCATACCGGCAATCATAAATGTGTGTTTATTAATTGGGTCATTTTGTTAGGGTGTTATAGTTATCAAATAGAAGAAACAATTAGTATATTAAGATTTCCATTAATAAAGAAATAAATAAAAAAAGAACACAATTTGGGTGGACTTGCTTGATGTGATATTGAGATTTTTACTATAGTCCATAACAAAATAAAATAAATATTAGGCATTTAGACTTTTCCAGCAAAACTTCAAACTAATTTTTACATATTTTATGTATAAAATATTATTTTTTATTATAATATATCACGATTAATTTTTATTTCAATTTAACATTTCTAATAACGCAATTTACAATTCATTGAGTTCATTTTTAAGCTGCAACAATATGTTTTCTGTACCAATAGGTTCCTTATTATAATCGATTTCCGGTTCAGTTTTACAATTGGTATCCTCAACAACTTTTTGTTGTTGCTGTGTTTTTTTAATTGATCTAGATTTTGACAATCTTTTAACTACTTTTCCACTGGCCTTAGATTTGTTCAAAACCGTTATAGCTCTTTTTCTTTTTTTATTAGATTCTCGAAGATAAACAGTTGCAGGCAATATTTCTTTGTGGAGCGCATTACTTTCCGTTAGCCATAAAGGATCCAATGTTGTGGGTAGACATTTAATGATTTCAGGAAAAGATTGTTGAATTTTTTGTTTCAATAAAATTGTCTGTTTGTCGGCTTCCTCGCTGTTGACTTCTTCGATTAGAGCCTAAGTAGAATATATTTTAAATGTAATGTGATTTGATATAGAGAAAAAATCCAATGTTACCTCAAATTCGTTTGCAAGAAATTTCGCTGATACAGGATCCAAACTTTTTTGAGGTAAACCCATCAAGGCATTGCTAATAAAGGAATATATTGCTCTGAAAAGAAATAAACGTTAAAATACTATGAATGTTCATTTTCTAGTTTCTCTCAAGGTAATAATTTCAACACGAAAATCGAAAACTTTTACACGAGGAGCAGCTAATAAGCATGACTGTTTTGAAATGATTGGCCAACAAAAACAAAAATTTTTATGCGGTTTTTTGTTTACTTCGTATAAATCTTGTACGCAGAAATTGCCATGCGGTTTTTTGTTTACTTCGGATAAATCTTGTACGCAGAAATTGCCAGTATATTCAAGAGGTGTGGCTGAAGTCTAAATTGATATCAATTATATGGATATATGTGCTCATTTGGGAGGTATACGGACACGTTTATAGTTATATTATAGTGATAGTTGTGTAGGCTATCATAGGGTTAGCCCTGTCCGACTATACAAGCCAACAGATTTTACATAGGTTTTTCAAAAATATGGCAATTTGCAAACTTTAGATAAAAAATGCATTTGGTCCATAGAATCTGCATGTTTCGGTAGGTATATTTTAATCGTATCAAAGTGAATATTAGAAGTTCTCATTTTAACACTCCATTACTATACAACTCACAAAATGCGAAAAAATACCTACTTCATATTAATGCCATTTAAATCTTCGGGTGTGGGTAGTTTTTCATTAGTAACTATTGCGTTTAATATAATGGCTGGTTCATAGTAACTATACTTGGGCACATCCATTTTCTTGAAAACTTCTAACCACTCCGATATGTTTGCAAAGCATAGGGAGTCGCATTCCTGATGGACATACTGTTGTGCCTCGTTAATACTTGTTGTTAAATATTCTGAAATGAAGAATATAACCGTATAAGATAATTAATAAAACTTAACTATAACTTAAAATAACTTTTTATTAACGTTCTGAACGTTCTGATTTCCCGTTTAGTTTAATTACCTGAAATTTGACTGAAGTCTGGTTCAGGCATATTTTTCCTTAATTCGTTATAGCTTTTCGAGGACCATCCGTGTTCCAGTAAATGTGTAATTGCAGCCGCTTTGCTTTGACGTTTTATTTTAGGTTGAGAAGAGTTCTTTGAAGATGTTGCTTCCCGTTTTTCGTTCGATTCATTGTGTGGTGTTTCCTGGTCGTCGCTTTCAATATCGTCCATAGGAATATGCTTCTCTTCTTTCTGTTCATAGTCACCATAGGTTGAAAAACTATATTCTTCATATTGTGCATTGCTGTCTTCATCACTATCATCTTGTAAAGCTTCATTTTCAACCTTTATTTCTATATTATCACAATTATTCATTTCGAAATGAAGCCTTAATTTTAATTATGAAATAAACAAAAATATGTTGCACTATGCGGATTCAATTGTTTTTGTTTACTGTGGACAGACATCTATCGATATGTGATCTGAAACTATGGCAACTCCAACACACTACTTTATAAACATTAATGGCGACTTAGACTACATGACTACATTGTCGTAGGCATGTTACAATAGGTATTTTCGATTACTTTTGCGGTAACATTTACTCAGTAAGAATTTACTGGTAGTAAAAATGAAAAAGAGAGAAGAAGAGATTAAAAACTAAACGAACAGCATGTAAAAAAGATGTATGTCCCAATTTAGATTAGGCGAGTTTACTTGCGGCAAGTCTTTGTGTGTAGGAGAGGGGGGCATGGGGAATAGAAATGTAAAAAAATTGCTCAAACCACCCATATGTCATCTTTATCGGAAATTTGAGACGTTCTTGAGGCGTAACACTGCTGTAGTATCTTGTTACATCTCCCGGTTTTCCAAGCTTAAAGCTTCGCGATTTGGAAGGCAGTGGAATTGATAAAACGTCTGAATACATAGGTCGTTGAACCGGTGACTATCTTCGTGGATATTTAACGGCTCTTAAATCCATCAAATCTTGTTATATCAAGATTTGTGTAGAACAGCTTTGGAAGAACTTACAACTATCGGCTGTGTTGGATACCAGAACACCGTGACATCTTGGGTAATGAAAGAGCAGACGAATTAGCTAGACGAGGATTTCAATCCAGAGATCTAACAATTGATGACTCAATCAAATCACCCATATGTCATCTTTATCGGAAATTTGAGACGTTCTTCGACGAAAGAGCCTATGAACTTTGGCACAACGAACCTAGGTGCAATGTGTCAAGATCCATTTTGCGGACACTGTCTACCAAAAGGACACACTCACTGTTGAACCTGAGCAAAGCTGAAATAAGAGCAATGACAGGAATCATTACAACAACTGAACCTGCTCTAATCTACAGCATAATTAGTAACCTAAAGTGGTCGGGAAAGTGTAACCTCGACACGTAATATATCTTCTGTCCGATCTCTATAGCCATCCATACTGTTTCAAACTTACCTTCTTACATAGATCTCTCCTTATCTCTTTATCTTTTCATGGATGATCATAATGGACATGACGGCCTCAGAGTGCTGCAGCCACATAAGTGACTGCACATCCCCAAACCTAACATAATCTTCGGGTTAAGTTCCCGTTTTTTTTCAAACTTAAATAAAATTCGAAGATGGGGAATATAGGTCCATTCTTCTTCCTAGAAATTGCTTAATACACGGCCGTGGTGTTTTTCGGTTTACCCCTTTCACAGTTACCGACTTTGCGATTTTATCGGAATTAAAAAAGACGAGGATCACAATCTAGAGATCCAGCAATCGTTAACTCAATTAAACCACCCATTTGTCATCTTTTTCGAATTGTTGAGACATTCTTCGACGTGCCAGTAATTAAAGCACAACGAATCTAGGTGCAATGTGTCAAGTTCAAGCTAGCCAAGAGAACTAACTCGCTGTTAAACCTGAGCAAAGCTGAAATAAGCATAATGTCGGAAGTTTTAATTGGGCACTGATATGTCAGTAGTGCTATTCTGTAACTGCTTAACGACAGAATTGCCGACAATTGTCGATAACTGCAAATTTTATTATCGTTAATTATAGAAAATATTCGCTAGTTTAACGACCAAAATAAAGCAGTCGTTAAGCCCTACCGATAGATATGAAAAAGTTATTATTAAATTTTTATTTTACTGATATTTGTCGGGTCTGGCAGTAAATGGCGAGAAGAACAAGCTGATGCTATCAACGCGCAAGTCGTCCAGTAGACTTGGACCAACTGTGGAACTTTAGAACTACAGCTTCGAGGTAGTTAAAGATTTTATATATCGTGGTACCGCCATAATTAAAACCAATGACATCATTTTTGATGCTACTATGGTCTAAGTAAGCAGTTTAGAAACAAGGCCAACACACTTTACACAAGGCTCACACTTTACAAGACGCTGATACTACCCGTGCTAGGTAGTATCTCGGAACATGGTCTTTCAAATTGGAGGAGTTGAGCACAAGACCGAGTAATAGTATTAATTTTGTTTTGTGGTTTTGTGAACTTAAACATGATATATTCCATCATGTTATGTTAACGTAATAGGTTTGCAGGCATTTCTATCAGAACCTAAAACGGACTTAAACCCCTTTCAAAATAAACGACCCATTTATAAATGAATATATACATCGAACGAAACATTAACTTTCATCCAAATTATGCACAAAGTTATATTTTTACCAAACCTATATCAATCTCGGAGATGAGTTCAATTCGACATACCCTTCTGGTAGCTCAACCACAAAACTAGTCATTTGCATATAAATCTAATGGAGTATCCGATTTAATCAACAGATTACACATCCTAATATTTTTATCAAACCTACATTAAATCGAAGATTTTAGAGCAACATTTTCTGCATGGTAGGTGGGACAAATTATTATCCCACCCTTTACTTCTTTATGGATATACAATCATTTTTATATTTTCTATACCCATAAGTTGTAAATAAGTATAAGTATTTAAGTATACAATCATTAATTTAACTTTATTCCATCGACCGTAATATTAAACTAAAATAAAAATTTTTGAACACTTTCAACATATCGTTCGTTGTTTAGCTTAGTACTCAATGCATCCTTTTGCATCCAGGCAAAATTTTTGCTAACATTTTTATCCACATTTCCATTTTTAAGCGAGGCTCTGAAAAAGAATACCTTGGCACCCACTGATTGATCCCTTACTGATGCAGGATACTTATATTTATAAAAACCACAGGGAGCATTGCCGTAGAAAAGCAAATCTAATTGGTCACCACATTTTTCACGTACAATACGTTCGGCAGCTTGGCGCATGGTTTCACCATCCAAACGTGGACCTTGGGGCAGGAGGAAATGTTTTTTAGAACCCACGGTTTGTTCCACCAATAGGTATAATGTGTCGTCTAAACAACGATTTGTGGACAATATATTGTTGGCTTTGTCGTCAGCTGTTGTACGTGAAGCTTTCTCGAATTTATTCAGTTCTTCGGTATATGCATCCTTCAGATCTTGGGCAGTTTGCTTCGATGCGGCTTCATCCAAATCTACTTGTCCTTTCTTTAAAAGTTCAGCCTGCTTTAAATCACGTTCATGTTGAAGTTCACTGTCGGATTTCAGAGATTTTTCAAATTCAACACGCCACAAATATTCTTGGAATTCTTTTTCTAAAGCATTAAACTCTTTGGATACCACGGGCAGCCTCTCAACCAGAACACCGGCATATAAATCCCACTTTTCTTGTTTTGCTGCTGCACCTGGAGCAGAGGCAAATGGACGAGACAGCGAAATTGTATTCAAGCGCACTTGATTGGTGAGAATAACCGTAGCTCTTCGCAGCATTTTCAGTAAATTATATTCTTAACAAAATTTCTTAATATTAAATAACAATAAACAACAATGGAAGGCAAATAATTCCGAACAGCTGAACATAACCTACAATTGTTAGTTTTGCACAGTTGGATAAAGTGTACTAAATGTTTTTATATATAAAACTTTTTGAATTAAATATAAAATAATTTATATTAAATATTGCATTTTCATTATCATTCTATCTAAAAAAGTGTAAATTAATTGCGCTTTTTGTAATAATTATTCTATTTTCCTGTTGTTTTACACTGTGTTATCATTATACAGTGATTGCCGTTAGAAAAATAGTAGCAACACCAGTTGTCATTTCACTGTAATCAGCTGTTCTTCTGTCCGCTCCCCATTCGTATATACAATTTTCGCGTGGTGTTTGTAATATTCTGGCCGAAAATAATAATTATTTGTACAATACTAAACTATTGTGAAGAAATCAAAATTAGCATCAACAAATAAGGTATTTAAATATTATTTACAATATATTTTTATTTTAAATATGTTAATTTTTATTTGTGAGAAAATTCTAACCTCTGACTACAACAAATGTATGGAAATATGTGGTGGATACATCTTATAGTGGGCATGTTAGAAAATAATATAGTGCAGCTTCTCCGATGTTGTGTTGCTTTTAATGGGCACTTGTTTTTATATGTTTATGTGGACCAATGTAGACTATAGGTGTGGGGTAACCGTTGTCCATACAACTTTTACTAGAAAAGATACAACCGGCATCGTTGGCAACAAAATATGGACCTCCGCAATGTCAAACAATTTAACATGCCTTGGCCTTAAAACAATACATATCGCTGTTGTAGCATGGTGTCGTAGACAACAGTTATGGAATTATTTCATTTTACCGAAAGTCTACAATTCCAAGACGAACAATAATCTGGATAGCAACACATGTAATGATCCAACGTATGTACCTGTGTGGAACGTAAAATTACGGCAACAGTTGTAAACACTATGTAAGATGTTAATTAAAATTTTTATAATTCCTTTAGTATCTTCCAAACATTGACTGTTTCTATATCCAAAATTCACAAATTGAACAAATTTTGATGTACATAATATCTATATCAAGTTAATCGACAAATATCGATATTTGATCTCTATGTGTCTATGAAACTGCTTGTACTCTCAACGATTATATGTAGGATATAATATTTTATTTTTTGTTCTAGACAGATTCAAGTTAATTTATTCCAATTTAGTACGAATACTTCTTGTACCGATGTAAATCATTAAACAAAGATGAGCATATACTAGTTTAAAATTTTGTGTTGTCGGAGGGTGAAAATGTTATCAGCATAGGCCCATTTCAACACACAAAGAATATAAAGGAACCCTATAACCTTTAAATGGCAATACCACCTTTATCTAAACTATTTTGTTTAATGGTTTGCCTTCTTCTATACTGCTGTATCTTCATGATTTCAAGAAAAATTCTGTTGTGTTGTCTGGGTTAAATGTCCAATGAAATGTCATATTTTTGGTATACATTTCTTTAATTTTATTAAAATAAACACACGTAAATACTCTTATTCTACACCGCTAATTTGGTGATTTATGGAACCAAAAATATAAATTTTTCCTTTCGTTTGAGCCACCTCGAAATATTAAACCAAGTCCCATTGAAATATTTATTCTTTATCTGAATAAAATTCAATGTCGTAGTCCGTCTATTGGAATCATTATAAGAGCACGTTATATTTGCTTAGCATTAGCAAATATAACGAAGCTTGGTATTGAAAATGAGATATATATGAAAAAAAAATCCTGATCCATTTTTAAGTATAGCCATTATATAATGGAACCACCCGAATGTCGGCATTTAGGTGAGATAAAGCCTGGTTTTCAAACAAAGTATTAAGTATTTAGTATTTTTTATTCTCATTTTTTGTAAGACCCCGCATTACGGCGCCTCCCAAATGTCGGTCACGTTTTTACACTATATTGACTTTTAATTAGTGTTATGCTGCCGCTGCCAAAACTGCCGCTTTTCTGTTTTTTTTTATTTTTAAAAACAGATGGCTGTCCTCCTCCAGCTAGTCCACTTTCTATTAAAATAGAAGATATAGGACCATACACCATATGTAGACACCGTCCACCGTCCAATCTATGAATACTTTGGATTACTGTTGTATAAAAACGAGATCTTATAAACAATTTTTGCTCAAATTTGTATTCGATGATAAACTATTTCGGTAAACTAGTTCGGTAGACTAGATTCGGTAGATTGTAATTTTTTAAGCCCGTTGGCGTCATTAGCTCTTTAAAATGCGACTTTCTTGTCAGCCGTCAGAAGACAAACTTTTTTCCGCCCTTTATAGCCCACACAAAAGAATATTGCTTGTAACGACATCTCTAATTACGACATATCGGTTGTAACTATTTGTTGTATGTGATTTTTCCTATAAATGATAACGACGAAACCTGCGAAGAAAAATATTTCTCACAAAATACCGAAACCCCACCTGCTCAAAGATAGTGTCATGTTTTATTATTTCGTTCTTAAGAATTTAATTTCTATACAATATATATTATATTTTTCATTCTTTCTGTGATACACGTATCAGTGTAAATGTACAATATTATTATTATTATAAATTTATTTATTAATTTCAAAGCCAAAAAAGCCTTATATGGCCAGTATACTACAAAATAAACTTAGACCAAATTAAAAATATAAATTTTAAAGAATAGTATTTATTTTCATGTAACATATGTTCAAGCTCTATAATTATTCATTAAAAGTAATAGATAAAAATCATTTGAATAAGAACTACTCTGAATTGACTTACAAAAACATTAAAGTAAAATATTAAGTAATTACAAAAATTTATCTTCAGTATTCAACTACTTGAATTTATTTCATTATTTATATATCAAAACAAAATATGTGTCTTAAAATTACTATGTATAATATATATGACCTACACTTGGTTAATATCGCTTATAACGACCAAAGTCGCCGGTTTCTTGACTGTCGCTATACGCAATTTTGTGTTGCCAAAAGTATTCGCAGCTTTCACATATGAGTCATATCATTCAATGTGAATGACAAATATAGCTTCGTAAAGAAGAAGCAAATAACATAATCATTAAACATATGTTTTGGATGCCAGATTTGTTGTTATTCAACTTTATTTATTTGTAGCTAAGTAGTAATTGTTTCGTGTTAAAAAAAGCGCGTACTCAGTGTTTTATTATTATTATTTCTATACAATTTAGTGATTTTTGTTTGTTCAAACCCCAATATTATTTATTCATTTGTAATAGAAAACATATAACGTTGACAAAAGATATGTTCTATTGTTTTGTGTATAAAGACAACGTAATATCAGTGTAAAACGACATAGTATCCCATACGCTAGTCCAAATTCTAGAGAGTTAGAAAAATGTCTTTAGCCTCAACATTGGCACTCGTTTTTACTGTGTTAGCTTCTGTAACAATTGTTGCTGCCATTATATTATTGGGTAAGACCTGCTGCTCCATTGAATATTATTTACATGTTTAATTGTTGGTGATGTAAAATTGTTGTGACGTCACTAAATAATACAATACACGCGAACTCCTCTCCATAGATATCAATCGAATTGCCTTAATGAATGGTGTTCTTTTTCCGCATTGTCATTAAATCATATTAGTATTTTTGTTGTGAAACTTTGACCTTATCAATATTTTTGAAAGAAATGATTTCTACTTAGTCTTAAGCATACACATACATGAGTACATATGAATTTGAACACGTATTAAACAATGTGCTTTTTGGTGATTTTTGCCATGCACGGAATTGTTCATGATGGGAAATAATTTGAATTAGTAAAACGTTATTTTAATATAGAAAAATAAGTTTTTGTCATTCTTTGTTTCCTATAAGTAGATTTCACCAGTTCAAATTATGTTTCTGAAGATGGCAATCCATCACTTTTGTTACCTCGCTTACAATTGGAGTATCGGATTTCATCCATTGATTGCCCATCGCAATATTTTTACCAAGTTCAAATTCAATGTTTGGGCCCATCGAGTGATATTCAGGGATTGAACCCAATGCCCGAATGTATTTTTTACCTTCGTATCTCTAGCCTAACATTTAATTTCACTGTAAATTTAATATTAATTTGTTATCACATTTTCTCATTTCAGGCTGGTTCCTAATTTGGAAAGCATTCTTGTCTAAATTCAGATTAGTACGAGAACTCTTGGGACAGACAAATCCAGACGGCTCACCAGCAACTCCGGAAAAATCAACAGATTCTATAGGTGGAACAACACAGTCGCATGCTAAAAGTAGAAAAATAAGAAAAGACTAATTTCGAATCATTTGTAAACTTGCAATACATACTTACCTATCACCATGAATATTCGTTGTGCTAAACCTGAAGATTTAATGGCAATGCAACATTGCAATTTGCTATGCCTGCCCGAAAACTATCAAATGAAATATTACTTCTATCACGGACTTACATGGCCACAACTTAGCTACGTGGCCGAAGACGATAAGGGCAATATTGTCGGTTATGTATTGGCTAAAATGGAAGAACCCGAATCCGGTGAGGATAGCAAACGTGGCCACATTACATCACTGGCCGTTAAACGTTCCTATCGTCGTTTAGGTTTAGCTCAAAAACTTATGAATCAAGCATCCAAAGCAATGGTGGAGTGTTTCGAAGCACAGTATGTTTCGTTGCATGTCCGCAAAAGTAATCGTGCCGCCTTAAACCTCTATACCAATACGTTGAAATTTAAAATCATAGAAATTGAGCCCAAGTACTACGCCGATGGTGAGGATGCATATGCTATGCGAAGAGATTTGGGTGAATTCGCTACAACAAAGTCTGATAATATAGAAAATCAAGAAAACAATCAAGATAACAATAAAATACATTATCGCGAATCTGGCACAGCAAATCATCATGATCACCATAATCATGATGGTCATTGTTGTTAGAATAATAGGGAGTAAAGAATAAATATGCTTCTAAGAGATACGGATAACCAATTTTTTAAGAAACTACGACAAGATAAACGGAGTATTTTTGCAAATACCAATACAAAACAACTTTTGCATTTTATTACATCGTTTTTTTGTGATTCAGGTGATCAGCAACTACAATTCTCTATCCTCAATGTGTATATAAAGAACAAAATAATAAGAAATCACAAAAATGCATAATTCTTTAATAAAGAAACGAAAACTAAACGAAGAGTGTTTTATTTCTACAACCTTCTCAAATCTGTGGTACAGATACTTTATATTTGTGCATATGTTAATAAAGGAAACGAGAATGATCTATATTTATTTTTGAGAATAAAAATAAGACTGTCGGTCCATGTATTTAAATGGTGCACCAAGCTCGCCTATAAAAGACTCCCTTCAGCTCGTCTATGAAAGACTCCCTTCAGCTCGCCTATGAAAGACTCCCTTCAGCTCGTCTATGAAAGACTCCCTTCAGCTCGTCTATGAAAGACTCCCTTCAGCTCGTCTATGAAAGACTCCCTTCAGCTCGTCTATGAAAGACTCCCTTCAGCTCGTCTATGAAAGACTCCCTTCAGCTCGTCTATGAAAGACTCCCTTCAGCTCGTCTATGAAAGACTCCCTTCAGCTCGTCTATGAAAGACTCCCTTCAGCTCGTCTATGAAAGACTCCCTTCAGCTCGTCTATGAAAGACTCCCTTCAGCTCGTCTATGAAAGACTCCCTTCAGCTCGTCTATGAAAGACTCCCTTCAGCTCGTCTATGAAAGACTCCCTTCAGCTCGTCTATGAAAGACTCCCTTCAGCTCGTCTATGAAAGACTCCCTTCAGCTCGTCTATGAAAGACTCCCTTCAGCTCGTCTATGAAAGACTCCCTTCAGCTCGTCTATGAAAGACTCCCTTCAGCTCGTCTATGAAAGACTCCCTTCAGCTCGTCTATGAAAGACTCCCTTCAGCTCGTCTATGAAAAACTCCCTTCAGCTCGTCTATGAAAGACTCCCTTCAGCTCGTCTATGAAAGACTCCCTTCAGCTCGTCTATGAAAAACTCCCTTCAGCTCGTCTATGAAAGACTCCCTTCAGCTCGTCTATGAAAGACTCCCTTCAGCTCGTCTATGAAAGACTCCCTTCAGCTCGTCTATGAAAGACTCCCTTCATCAGTGATCCTTGGAATGTTTGAGACACTAAACTATCGATTAGTATATAGGCGGTTCTAATACATATGTAATTATAAAATCAGCTTTTGCATATCCTCATTGGGGTGTAGGGTATAACACATTCGAGCCGTGGACTATGTCCATTTTCCTTTTAAATATTTTTCTATACTATATTTGTTTTACTTCATGACATTTTACGTTTTACTTCATGACATTTGGATCGAAGTCAGCTGTTTTGTAAACTGCCGCCGTAATTTATTTCAAAACGGCGTTGTTGCGACTTTCGACGTAAACTCGTCAATGTGGTAACCTTTAACATAACGGTTTGAAAGTAGAAGAAAAAATGAAAACAATAATTAGTGAAAAATATATTAAAATTTGTAAATTGTTTTATTCGCGGAATGGTATCGATTGCGTTGTTTTGCTTGTTTGTTATAAATAAATCGGTTTCTATTAAATGCAACTGACTGTAACGTGAAAAAGGTTGTGTTTGTGTCAACGAATTCTTTCAGAGCCAATGTTTATGTCCTTTTTAAGAGTGAAATACATTTTTGGCTAAAGTGTAAGTATAGAATTGCAAATGTTTTTTTTTATATTGCGCTAAATTACTTGATTTATTTGCAGGAATGGTGAGTACTATGAATATATTTTCATTTCCAACAAAATACGTGGTGATTGGCAATGGTTGCACTAAGCATATAGGACATTGTAGATCGATTTTGTCGTTGTTTTTGTAATTTTATGTAAGTTTTCTACAAATAGATTTGAAATAGAAAGTTGATAAAAATCCCTTGCAGTCTATAATGAGTCTGTCAGTCTTATAAGTATTTGCGTACTATAATTCATTCCACACAAAATTTGCAACATGTTTGAAGATGGAGATGGGTGCATTGTCCACTGTATCTGGTTCCTCCCCAACAAAATGTCGAATTCGCACAAACTAATAATATTTACATAATCCCTTCTTTTTGTATATTCCCAATACGGATTCAAAATTGATATGAATCGTATTAAGTATCTGATCCTAATCGTAATATGTAGACTAATGTTAGATCGATTTATAACATAACAAAGACGAAGTTATGCCGTTAATATTGAAATACAATATCAGTCATACTAATCACAGCGTGTAACTTATATTTTTGAGGCCTTGAATCGCCGCTATCTCTTGGCGTAGATCATAACCTTTACGATGCTCCAACGAGAGAAGTCAGAGGGGGTTAAAGATGGCAATTATGATCAGATTTTTATGAGATACGTAAACTTTAGTTGTTTGTGTGAGATGTGACGCAGTCTGGTTGAAAGTAAACCGGATTTCGTTAACCCAGTTGGTTTCAATTGTAAATTCCTTTGCATATGTGTCAAATGAATCCTCATAAAGTAGGTTAACCCGGTAAAAAGTTCTAATGTACATACCGTTTAAGAAGTCAATTGTAGTCTATCAATTCTTTCTGTCGTATTCTATTCATTGCAGTTGTTAATAACACGCAAATCATTCTGCGTGTTCGCACCGTGAGCTTTTGTTAAAATTTAATTACATTTTTTACAATGGACTTGTGGACTCGAACCCTAATTATTACAAAACATATGTAACGTAACTTTTAATCTCATTTTCGAAAAAGTAAGATCCAATGATCCCGCCTGATTAAAAATGTCACATGGTAAGGTTCTTTCAATTTGGCTTGTTGACATAGCCACCAACGTTTGTAATTGGGTTCACCAGTCAATATGACATCAATAACATGACCCTATAGCTTAAACTGTTTAAATTTATTTTTGTGTGGCGTTTCGACATGGTACTATGCCAAAAATAGATACAGTGTAAAATATTTCGATTGAAACCCCATTTGAATGCGACCACTCTACAAAACGACCAGCATGTTTCTTGTAGTGGTCTTTCCATTTATATTTTCTGTCTAGCATTTTTAATTTATTTGAGATGTTTACTACGTTGTTTTGGAAGACTGATCCAAATATCCTCGATTAAGGTCCTTAAGAAACTACTATGTGTGGGGTCTCATGTACTACTTTGTAGCTTCGTGTGGAGTTACATGTACTAAGGATTGGATAACTGCGTCACTGCCGACATTTTTGAAAAAACTCTCTTGATGTCAATGCATAGAGTTGTAGTTTTATTACACCCTTCACCACACTGTGGTACAGGGTATTATGTCTTTGTGCATATGTTTGTAACAGGCAAAAATAATCGAGATAGACCCATGGTTCCTTTTGAGAATATGCATAGAATCACTTTCTGAGCCGATTTATGCATGTCCGTCTGTCCGTCCATCTGTTGGTGTTAAATTGTAAACAAAGTACAGGTCACATTTATAATTCGATTTGGAAATTTGGCACAGCTCATTTGGTTGGTCCAATTACGAACCCAATTGAAACTGGGAAAAATCGGTTCAGGTTTATATATAGCTCCCATATATATTTTCGTCCGATTTAAGGTAAATTGTGCACCAAAGACCCTATATATCTGTCGATTTGCACGAAATTTAGTATAACGTACTGAATTGAGCCTAGAGTGATGTCTGCCACGTTTCGAGAAAATCGGTCCAGACTTAGATATAGCTCCCATATATAGTTTCGTCCGATTTGATGTAAATGGTGCACCAAAGTCCCTATATATCCTTCGATTTGCACGAAATTTGGCATAACGTACTGAATTGAGCCTAGAGTGATGTCTGCCACGTTTCGAGAAAATCGGTCCAGACTTAGATATATCTCCCATATATAGTATCGTCCGATTTGATGTAAATGGTGCACCATAGTCCCTATATATCTTTCGATTTGCACGAAATTTAGCATAACGTACTGAATTGAGCCTAGAGTGATGTCTGCCAAGTTTCGTGAAAATCGGTCAAGGTTTAGATATAGCTCCCATATATATTTTTGTCCGATTTAATGTAAATTTGGTCCAGAATGATGGGTGCCAAGTTTCGTGAAAATCGGTGAGATTTAGATATAGCTCCCTTTTTGTTATATATTGATTTTAAGTAATTGACGCACCATGGAACCAATAGGAAGGTAGGAACAAAACGTACTAAAATTAGTGTAACCTAACCTGTTACACTATGCCTATAAGTATAGGCATAGTCCAACGGATGACCTATTTATATTTGTTTGAAGTTGATTTACATACTTTAGTCCCAATGTAACAAACGAATGATATGTTTA